CTCCCCGCTCTCAGCCTCATTTGTCGACCAAGTGCTAATACCCAAACTCCTACTCTCAGACATGCATGCTTTAAATTAAACATTTCCCATCCCTTGAAATATTTTAAACACCGATATCTATGGAGAGAGTGACTTAATAAATCCCTTAAACCTTAGTGTTTAAGAGTTTGATCAGATTGTTGCCTTTATCCATTGATGGAAAGAGCAAAGCACTTGAGGCACATGTCGCACCTTGAAGAGAAGAAAGGAGGAAAAGGACTGACGGAGAAAGAGGAAGGAAAGATACAAGCAAAGTGTCTTTGCTTCAGTATAGATCAGCCCTTCCAAGGACCTTGACTCTCCTTGAAGTTTGCTGTCATGCTGGCTTCAGCTTGTTCCATTGCTTCTGTCCTTCTGGGCTTCTGGATATTCAGAATTTGGGCTGTGTCCTTTCCTTATGGTATTTCTAGGGAGGTGAGCACAGAAACCCCTACAGATGTTTACCACCACTACCCAGACTCAGAGAGAGGAAATGTGGAACAGCTTGCCTGCCAGCGCTTAAGGCAGCAGCACCATAAAAAAAAAAAAAATACTCCAAGACTCTAAAGTTATCAATAGTAGCTATTTTGGTTGAGGCCGTACTATATGCTAGACACTGTACCTGATACTTAACAAATATTTCCCACAATAGTCTTGAAAATATGTGTAATTTAGTAAATGCAGCTCATTAAGAATGGGGCATGGCTTTTAAGCTCAGGCCTATTTGAAGCAAGGGTGTTTTTTTTTTATCATAACACATGGCTATGGCATGCTTAAATTAACCTTCTACTCAACCTTCAAGCTCTGGCTTAAATCACCCCTTCACTCGGCGGTTCGCTCTCAGTGACCTTGGTGATATCTTCCCTTTCTAAAAATATTTATTTATTTATTTTGAAAGCGAGCATACATGAGTGAGGGAAGAACAGAGAGAGAATGAGAGAGGGAGAGAGAAACCCAAGCAGGCTGCTCGCTGTCAGGACAGAGCCTGACGTGGGGTGGCGATATCTTCTTTCTGCAGCCCCGACTTGGCACTTTTTATATGATAGCTTGACCTCTTGCTTCCTTTTTTATTCACATACCTCCTATTCCAAGCTGAAATTATATTTGCACCTATGTCCCACCTCCCCATCCAAAACCTTGAATTCCTAAATGTTCTTTGGGTCACCAGGCCAACATCAGAGCAGGAATTCAATGGTATCATCAGCTGGCCTATAAATCAAGTTAGGCACAAAGTCCACCCTCTGGAAGCCTCTGGAAGTCAAGCATTTGTTACTGGTTGAACCACTCCATGTTGTTTACACGTGGCCTCCAATAGTTAACAGCCCCCATCCCTGCAGGAATGGCTTGCCCTGGGAAAATTTGTACCCATTTACAAGTTGTTCTTGCACTGGCTTTGTACCGCTTTTCTTTCCCATCACTCTCTTCCAAGAGAAGAGTGTGGCTTGGGTTATCTTTACGTTTAGCTACTCCTCCCTCTCTGGTATTCTTTACACTTTGGATTCTAGGAGAATAGAGGAAGAAAACAAAACTTCTGGTGACTCTCTTCCTGTCTTCCATACTTGTACATGCTCATTCTCTCTTTAACATTTGAGACATTGTGTAAGCATTTTATGTATATCATCTGAGTCCTATACAAGAAACCCTATGAAATATGCACTGTTATTATTGCTATTTTGTTCAGGAGTGTCCCCAGGTACAGAGAGGTTAAGGAAGTTGTCCACGATCACACAGCCAGGAAATGGGAGAACCAGAATGTGAATGTAGGCTGTGTGCTGCTCTCAATCACTTATCAACTATTATCAGTGGGAGACAAAAGTGAAATGTGACAAATGCATGGGCACAGACCAGTATGCTTGTGGGTACTGTGTAGAATGCCAAGGAAACTAGAATCTCTAGACTTTCCTTGTAACCAGTTCTTGACGGGGCTTCATCTTCTCACCTTCTGTTACAGGTGCTCAGAGAATATGGATGAATCCTTATTAGTTCAAACTAAGCTATGAAACATATAATGTCCTAGTGAGTGTTGATGTTACTATTATTTTTTATAAATCATTTATTAGGAAAGAATGTAGCTGCCACTGACATCTTCTAAAACTCAATATAAATGATTTTTGAATAATTCAAATGTTGGATTATTCATATCCACTTGACCTTCTCCGGTAGCAGAAATCTTTGAGAGTTGATGGTTTGCAGGTATTTGAAGAAGCCATTATGCAAATGAAAATATTCTATCCGCTAAGATATTTTTGTGAGCATTATGGCAGGCACAAAAGAGTATAATGTATTCTCTCCAAGGTTCTCTATGTTTTTTGAGAAAATAAACCTGATACATGTTTCTCATTAAATAACAATGAAATTTTTAAATGGCCCTTTGAGAGGATGATGGTAATCACATGCTAATGCATGACTATACCAACAGCAATTCACAGAGGAGGTATATAACTTCAGGCTGAAATGAGGGATCTAGAGAGGTTTGGTGGAACAGATGGATTTAAAGCTGAAGTTTGAAAAGTCAATAGAATTAAAGTAAGAAGCAATGAAAGAAAGACCATAAAGGGTTGGACAGAATAGCATAGGCGACTAAACAATCCATAATAGAGAATGTGCTTGTGCAAAAACAAACTGGCATCTTTCATTTGGACTGTGGGCTTGAGTGAATACAGAATATCTGTGATTCAGTTTGAATTCTGTGACTCTCAGCCCAGGAATTTTTGCCTAGTTTCTCTGGTAACAAAGTTCAACACTACAGAGGAAGCAACAACTATCATTGCCTGCTTGGTGGGCTCTCCTGGGTCACCGTAGGACCAGGTTTCAAGATGCAGCAGTTAGAGTATCAGCTTTGGAGAAACACTTCCTAGTAACATCCAGTCTTGTTCCACTAGGCCCCCTGGAAGACTTTCCACTTGTTGCTAAAAAGTGAGACTTCTGGGCAGAAATATGCCACACAGTGGTTCAAATTTGATTGCTCTTCAGGGATACTACTTGGGGCTGCCCTCTAGAGGGACTAAGAGGAGCCACCACTACCAATTCTAGCAGCGCATAAAAAGGCAAGAGGCTTTTCAGAAAGGCAGGCCACTCTGGAAAACAGTACGGAGATCCCTCAAAAAGTTAAAAATAGAACTACTCTACAATCCAGCAATTGCACTCCTGGGTATTGTCCCAAAGGATGTAAAAATACTGATTTGAAGGGACACATGCACCCCAGTGTTTATAGCAGCACTCTCAATAATAGCCAAATTATGGATTATAACTATCGATCGATGAACGGATAAAGAAGATGTGGTATAACTACATAACAGAATATTACCCAGCCATAAAAAAAAAAAAGAATGAAATCTTACCATTTGCCAAGAGTGGATGGAGCTAGAGAATATCATGCTGAGCGAAAAAAGTCAGAGAAAGACAAATACCATGTGATTTCATTCATATGTGGAATTTAAGGAAGAAAACAAACAAGCAAAGGGAAAAAGGAGAGAGGCAAACCAAGAAACACAGAGAACAAACTGATGGTTACTGGAAAGGAGGTGGGTGGGGGGTGGGTTAAATAAGTGATAGGGCTTAAGGAGTGGACTTGTCATGATGAGTACCAGCCGATGTATGGAAGTGTTGAATCACTATATTGTACACCTGAAACTAATATTACACTGTATATTAACTAACTGGAATTTAAGTAAAAACTTAAAAAAAAAAAAAAAGGAAACCAAAGATATGGAGCATCTGCAAGAGGGTTTTATATATGTGTATCTATGTAGATATAAAATCATGTTAAACTCTCACAAAATCTCTATGAGGTAAGAATTATGACCTTTATTTTATAGATGACAAAAGGCTCGGTAAGTTGCCCAGTGACACTGACAGATTTGAGATTCCACATGTATGTCCACCCTACCTTAAGCAGCTAATAACTTTGGCCCATCAAGACAAGAAAGAAGAGATGAGAGGTTTCGAAGAGGTCATCTACTTCTCTCTGGGTATAGCCAGTGCACTCCAGACATCAGAAGTTGGTAGAAAAATCCCTCAAACCTAGAACCTGGCAGCATTTCAAGTTGAAGAGAAACCTTAAGGTAACCCCACATGTAGAAGCTACTGAAGAAGCACCCAGAATAGAGAGCTCAACTATGAACAGCCTTACAAGAACATCTTCAGTCTGCTCAGCAACACGAATTGTATCTTGTCCACGGAAAAAAGAAACATACTGTCTTCTTTCTGAGGTATTGCTAGGAAGATTACCCAAGGGGAGACTACCTGAAAATGGCTAGTTGAGCCTTTCAGCCAAAGAGAAAAAGACTGAATATAAATTGCCTTCCAATTCCTAGTGCAAGGTGTAGCTTTATAAAAGAGAGTTCCAGGGCCCCTGGGTGGTTCAGTGGGTTAAGCATCCAACTTCGGCTCAGGTCAAGATCTCACGGCTCATGCGTTTGAGCCCTCATTGGGCTCTCTGCAGTCAGTGCAGAGCCCGCTTCAGATCCTCTCTCTCTCTCTCTCTCTCTCTCTCTCTCTCTCTGCCCCCTCCCACTCGTGTGTGCTTGTGTGGGAGAGAGAGAGAGAAAGAGACCGAGCACAAGTAGGGGAGAGGCATAGAGAGAGTGAGACACAGAATCTGAAGCAGGCTCCAGGCTCTGCACTGTCAACTGAGCCACCCAGGCACCCCTTAAAATATTTTTTTTAAAAAAAGGGTTCCATATATATTGGTGCTTCCTAGGAACACATTATATAACTTTCAGCAGCCATACTAAAATGGCCTTTTCTCTAAATGAGTGGTGCATGTGCCTAACAAGATGATTATGCCAGAGGGAAAGAAGAAGGAAAGATAGGTCAATTTCAGGCCTGTTTTCAGAGAAGTCTTTTTCTTTTTTCACCCAAGTAGTAGCTGATATAGTGCATATCAAAGGTCTAAGAAGATCTGCATCCCGTTATCTGCCTTTTTTGATACAAGGGTAACTTTATTAAAACAAAGAAGTGAATATAATTTTAAAGGACATAAAAATTTGGAACACTTCACAGATTTGCCTACCATCCTTGCACAGGGGCCACGCTAATCTTCTCTGTATCGTTCCAATTTTAGGATAGGCGCTGCTGAAGCGAGCACCCAATTATCTGCTTTTAGATAGCATCCCAGGAAGACCTGAAATTCACCCATTTGTGCTACATTTTGCTTTCTGTAATTCTATTTACAAAACGGAAACCTGGTTGGAAAGCTTATGCTGAAACTGATTTGTACTTCTACCTAAATTATTTGAGTATTCTTTCTGCTTCAGTTTTTTTCCCGATAAAAATAAAAGGACTTGGAGGAATCCATGCTAGAGAAACTTTTAATAAAACGGTTTCTGATGATATAATCTGAAGTTTGAGCCTGTTGCTCAATGTGCAGGAAAGATGAGAGATGCTTTTTGCACACCTACCTCAAGAAGCAGCTAGATTCCTGCTCGAGTGTGCACACTGTCCTGTGTTCTCAAGGCTTAAAAGGAGTTGCCACTTTCCCCTTCTTAATGGGAAAAAAGAACCTGTCACAAGAGCTTTTGACATAAAAGATACACATTTTGACTATAATCTTTGGCATATACCTGCTGTCTCCGAAAGGAAGAATGACAAGAAGGAAAATAATATAGTTCAGATAGAAACCTCAATCCAATGGCAAGCCACAGACACATGGAGAAATTCACCTGAGAAGGCTTTAGAAGCAAAAACAACAGAAAAGAAAACATTTTGTTTGGGAACGATTTTAGATTTATAGAACACTTGCAAAGAGAGGACAGGGAAGGAGTTTCCGCGTAGCCTGTCTTCATCTTCCTCTTGAATTACCACCTTACACCACCACGTGAGGAAGGCTTTGGATGTCAAGTTGGCCTAATGACTGATAAGGAGATGATAAAGTAAAAGTCTCAGGAGAATGTAACGATATGATTACTGACACATAAAAACTGAAAAGTTTTAGCAATCAAAGAAGGATGTGTACTTTTTGAAGTGAACCCTCGAGATATTCTAAAAACTCAACTTTCAGTACCACAGTTTTAACTTGCCTTTTCATATGGCCAATAGCATGGCCCGTTGTGGAAGAAAAAGGAAGCCTCTTCATTTTCGGTAAACCCTACCACAGCATGAACGATAGATCATTATCAAGTCACCAGTACCATATTGTAGCAACACATACAATAATGTAGTAGGTGTGTTTCCTCTCTTAGATGGTGATACATCTCTTAAAATTTAAATGTCAGCCTGCAAAGATAAATATCTCTTGAAATTTATGGCCAACGTCACAAAGTGATTCACCAAAGCACTTGTTTTCAATTATTGTATTGGATCACATTCCTCCATGATAGAAAAAGAAAGGGAGACGATGGGAGAATTGCCTTGAGAAGAGAGTTATGAATGGGGCAAAGAATGGAGGGTCAGATGTCAAGGACAAATACATTGAGAGTGTTTTCTTGGCCCTGTAGTGTTCAATTTTTCCCCCTTCTATCTTTTAACAGGAACTGCCTTACCTAGGCTGTGATGACTTGGATTCTGTATATCCTGTTTCCACAAGGAGATGATGTCTCTCTATCCAGATATCATCAGGCTTAGCCTCATTTTAATTGAGTTCCCTGATACATTTGACAGACTATGCACTGAAACTTGGAATATTGACTATTTTATATTTACCAGTGATGATCATGTCAATAGGTAATTGCAGGGAAAACTTGGTTGCATCCACTTACTAATTTTCCTAAAGCAGGTCCCTGAATTGCATCATATATAATGCACATTTTTGCAGGGTCTCGTAGTTTTGGTCTGTTAATAAATAGAGGACCAGGTAGAAATTTCGGGAGTATCAGAAATTTTTTGAGCATCAGATTTCTGGAATATCAGTTTTCCAGAAATTTCTGGAGTATTTGCAGAGTGAAGCAGGCATTACATTTATAGATGTCCAATGTCTGCCCAAGTCTACCACAGGCGGGTGGTAACAAGTCCATTAGCCAACCAGCACCTTATTCAGGTAGCATCATATTTGGCCCCCAGGGAAGACTGTCTTCTCCAACGTATTGCTTAGGCTCCTCCGGGATCACTTTTGTACAAAAAGGGACAGCTTCTAGCTGAGCCTCACACACAACACCCCCGGGGCCCACTCACCTCTTTCTCCAAAAATGACTAATTTGTACAAGTCTAGTTCCATACTCCATAAATGAATGAATGGTCTTCCCAAACACTGGAAAGATGCAATAAAAATTTACATATATGCCTTTGGGGTTTTCTTTTTCAAGTAGTAATGGGTAAAATCAACTTACATTCTATGGGCTGTTTTCATTAAAATTCAAAACAGCAGTATTCATTCATCCACTCCCACCTCTTCAGGGATTCTACCTTTGATATCTAGCTTTTTTTTAATTTTTTTAACGTTTTTTTAATTTATTTCTAGGAGAGAGAGAGAGACAGCATGAGCAGGGGAGGGTCAGAGAGAGAGGGAGTCACAGACTGAAACAGGCTCCAGGCTCTGAGCTGGCAGTCAGCACAGAGCCCGACGCGGGGCTCGAACCCACGAACCGCGGGATCATGACCTAAGCGAAAGTCGGACGCTTAACCAACTAAGCCACCCAGGCGCCCCGTGATATCTAGCTTTTAACTAATGAAATAAGTTAACTACTATGGCATTCTTGAGGGCTATTTACAAAGCTCAACCACACAAATAAAAACTCAAAATCACCAGTTTGGTCGGTGATACAGTGGAAGGCTTCAGCTGATGCTGGGACTGTTTGTTCCCTTACTTCAGGACGAGGGCATACATAGCATGCCTTTCTTGAGAAAGACCTTGTCTGGGTGGCCTTCACCACCAGCTTTACTCATTACATCAACCTAAAAGGCTAAAATTGACAAGGAACAAGTTTAACCCCAAACCTGCTAGCCTAGGCTACATTTCTGCTAAAAATTAGAATCATTGCCTTCAGGAGTAAGAAGAAACTAAGACTTCACTCTAAATGAATCTAAGCTAGTTATTTATGTTTTATATTACATATGAGTAAGGACGTATATAACATCAGTTGTACAAACGACTAAGGAACTCTATAATACGGCATCTCCGTGATCCTGAGCAAAAAGGATGGGTTATTTTAGCTTTCTAAAAAAAATATTTCTCTCTGGCGGGGCGCCTGGGTGGCTCAGTCAGTTAAGCGTCCAACTTTGGCTCAGGTCATGATCTCACAGTTCGTGGGTTCGAGCTCTACGTCGGGCTCTGTGCTGACAGCTTAGAGCCTGGAGCCTGTTTCAGCTTCTGTATCTCCCTCTCTGTCTCTGACCCTCCCCTGCTCACACACTCTCTCTCTCTCAGAAATAAATTTAAAAAACATTTTTAAAAAGTTAAAAAAATATTTTTCTCTCTGATAATCAAACCCAATACAAAGAACTTAATTCCCTGCTATAGAAACCGTTCCTATAGGGGTGTCTGGGTGACTCAGTCGGTTAAGTGTCCGGTTCTTGATTTCTGCTCAGGTCATGATCTCATGTTTTGTGAGATTGAGCCCCACATCAGGCTCTGAACTGACAGTGGGGATCCTGCTTGCAATTCACTCTCTCCCTTTATCTCTGTGTGCCTCTCTCCATCAAAATAAATAAATAAACTTAAAAAAAAACTGTTCCTATAGGTCCATGATATAGTGAGTCCAGTACAAAGACAGCGGGCTTTACAATAAACTATTTGTAAAAAAATAAAATAAAATAAAATAAAAATTACAGAGAGAACAAAAAAAAAAAAAAAAAAAAAAACAAAGACAGCGGGCTTTGCCTTTTAGCCATTTCTCCTTGCTCACATAGGCAGAAAGGACATTAAATGAAATGCACTGTTCAGAGTGGAATTCCCTCTGTGCCCCTCTTTATTAGCCCACTTAGGAGTAATCAATGCATCTGCATGAGTAAGAGGGGTATGTTATTGATGGTTTAGCTTCTAAAAGCAAATAAGTAGAGAAGGTAACATCGCTTGATTGGTTAAAGTGTACTGTTAAGGGAATAAAAGGATGGGCAGAAAATTGACACATTTATTGACAATAAAAGGAATTACTATAATAATGTTATTATCATAAACATTTTGTCCTACATTAAATCACCCTGTACTCCTGAGCTTTTGCAGTTGTTTCTGGATAATGTATTATTTTGTTCTCTTCCCTGAAGCTGCTTGTCACTTATTAGAGCCATGAAAATGCATACTTATGGTATTTTTCAAAGTATAACATACATGCCTTTCATACATGAATGTTTTTACCTTGGCTACTAATAAGTATGCAGGTGGGTGTGTCTATGTATGTGTGTGTGTGTGTGTGTGTGTGTGCATGCGTGCATGTACTCATTTGTGTCTGAATATGTGCATCGTTCCACTTCCTTAAATTCAGCTTTTTTCTATTAATTGAGGTTAGCAAGTAATTGGATTATGGGCAAATACAGCTCTATTGTCATCTTGATGATATTCACTCAAGGGAATTTTGGCTTTGGTGTGAGTTTTTGTGACTTAGTAGTAACCAATGTTTTATATAATTATGATATATAAAATATATATATATATAAAATAATCTTTATACCCAATGTGGGACTCGAACTCACAGCTTCAAGATCAAGAGTCACAGGTTCTACCGAATGAGCCAGCCAGGCACCCCTAATTTTATATATTTTTAATTTATATAGAAATATTTCAGTCATACAATAAATTATTGAAATAATATAACATCTACATTTGTGCATCTCACCCAATTTAAACAATAATATACTACAAAAGAATTAATGCTTCTTGTTGATACCTCCTTGATAAAAGTTTATGCTCCCTAAAGGTAATCACAGCTAAGGATTTGGAGAATTTCTTTGGAGTTTTATTTTGTATGTATCTTTGTTTGAATAATATTTAGTGTTTTAAACTTTATATAAATGGTATACTGTTTGTCTCCTTCTGAAACTTGCTTCCTCATTCAGTATTAAGCTTGGATTTTCATCCATGTAGATACATGCAGCTTTGCGTCAGTGGATTTTTTTCATTGCTGTATATTATTCTCTTGGGTAGATAAGCAATAATGGAGTCTCTTGATGATGAACATTTGGATTATTTCTAATTTTTTTATCGTAAAATTGCTTCCA